GCTGTTGCTCAGAGCTCAAACTCTTGAGCGAGCTCTTAACCAACTGAGCCACTTGGCCGGCCCACAAACTGAATCACTTCTAACTTGAATTTCAGCACTGTACAAAAATCTTTTTTGAGCCATTCCTGGGCAGAACGTGGCAAAACGTAACCTACTGTAATATACCGGTAACAAGTGCGAAACAGTGAGAGCAAAGACAACAAGCGCGAAAAAGTAGGAAATGCAAATTTAAAAATCTACAACCACTGTATAAGATGCACCCAGTTTTTAGACCCCAAATTTTTCGAAAAAGGTTGCGTCTTATACATGGGGAAATACGGTACATAGTGTTTTTTGGATAACATATAAGATGATCTGTGATCTCCTTACTTGCGTCTTCAGTTTTACTTCCAGTGCATTCCCTCAAAATTTCTTGTATTTGCTCATTTCCCTATTCCCTCTGCCTGGAATGCCCTTTGACTGTTTTTACTGTCATATGTCTATTTTTTAGGACTCATCCAAAGCATTACCTCCTTTATGACCCTTTGCCCAATTTCCCCATTTTATCTTTTCTATCAGCATATATCTTGAACATTCCTATATCATAGTACCTACCTTACTGATACAAAATGATTTGTTATGTCTGCCTCTTCTTTTAACTTTCGTTAAATACTTATTTTTGTTGAACAAATTAAAATAATGAGTGGACAAACAAATGGAATTCTTGATTGAATAAGTCTACCATCATATTTCTGACCTAGAAATGATTAGGTAAGTCAACATAAAGTAGAAAACAAGTAATTACTTATCAATAATTGGTTTCCATTTCCTTTTTTAGTAATACATATATACTTATGTTGGTTTATAGCTCACTATATATGAGTTATTTTTATTTTTTAGATTGCTCTCCCTAGTCTTTATCAGATCCTCTGCTTTGAAGATGTAGCTCTGTGGCATACTTTTTATCATAATTCAGTGTGTGAGCAGGAGTTTCCACCTAGTCTTGCAAAGAAGGTTTCCTTATTTCACCAGGTAAGTTATCTAAATACATAGAAGTATTTAATGTTTCTCTTTTCATTCAGAAGCCATTTAAATGAAAGCTCTGCCTTTGGGTGTCTCGTAATCTTAATGTGGCACATGTGGGGAAGGGCTTTTCTGCTTTTGTCATCTTATCCAGACAGTGAAATCACTGTCAAATTTCCCACTGTAGCTTTTCTTACTCCCTCTGACCCAAAGGTGATTTTGCAATAGAGCAAATGTCTTACAGAAAGAAATTAAGGTATGGATTGTATAGGTTCTTCACTCATTTTGCACGGTTCTATCTAAGGAAGACATCTCATGGTGAGGAAAAGGGGAATTTTTTTCCCACTCTATTTCAAAATAGAATGATGAAATCTACTGATGGGTCCTAATCAGTCTTTTGGGGGAGGCAAAAGGCTTAGAATTGAAAAGCTCTATAGGAGTTGGTACTGGAGAAGTGACCCTTCCATTTCCTGGAAGTGGTTCTGTCCCCGTTGTATCTCCTTGGTGAATTCTGTTTTACCAAGTATGTTTAAAAAACAAACAAACAACAACAACAACAACAAAAAACCCTTTATTTGAAAATATATACACTGATTTGAAAATTTTAGGTGAGATTTTTGGGCCTCTTTTGCTGTCATCAGAAGAGCCTAACCTACCTACCAATTTTTTCCTGGCATTTGGCAACTTATTAGATCCTGAAGAAATAGCTAATCCTCTGACCATAACATGCTGATGTTTACTTTTTTTTTTTTTTTTAGCTGAGCCATCCTGCTACCTGTTGGCAGCTCAGCGGCTGCTCAGCTCGGGCTGGGAATCGAGCCGCTGTTGCTCAGAGCTCAAACTCTTGAGCGAGCTCTTAACCAACTGAGCCATTCGGCCGGCCCCTGATGTTTACTTTTGATGATATGTTTGAGGAAATAAATGAATCTTAGTAATATTTTCACTATTAAAGATGTGTCTTTGTATTATGTATACCTATTGTGTCAATTTGAGGCATAGTAAATATTGTGTAACAGTGATTAATATTCACATATTTTAATAAACATTTGTTTAATTAATTAACATTAACTATTATTTAGTTAACAATAATATTGTGGGAACATTATTATTTAAAAATACCCTGAACTTTATTTTCAGGTTCTTGTGGTGCAGGCTCTCAGGCCAGACAGATTGCAAAGTGCCATGGCTCTATTTGCATGTAAAACTCTGGGTAAGTGTAATGCTTTTCTAGAACTAGACCACCAACCTGAATTATTTGTTTTTAATTTACATGTTATTTTATGCTGATCTGAGTTTAGAAGATTATATGACTTTTTTTTTCATTTTACATATTTTACAATCTCTACCTGGTTTAAAAATATAATTCTTTGTGTTGGATATGACCATACTTAATGCATTAAGTTTGAGGCATAATTGACATCCTGTATTTAGTAAAGGTGTTTGAAATTTTAAAAATTTTCTTATGAAACCACTTTAGACATTTAGACATTTGTCCAAGATTTAGAGTTTAAAGCAGAGAATCAAATGTTTGATTTAGGTAATGTAAAACATACAGCTACCATAATCTTAGGGAAAAAAGCCTTCAAAATGAGTTCTTTTGCTCTATTTAAAACAACAAATGAAAATTTGTGTGTCTTCAGATCGTAAACAAACTGTGTAATACATTTTTTAAGTCTTTCAGATATTCTTATCTGAAGAACTAAACGTTATTACTCATTTGGAAATAATAAACTATACCATATTTCCATTTGTACAAGAAAATTTGGAAAAACTATGTTAAAAGGAAAGATTATGAAAAGTATTTTAATTGAAGCATAGAGTCATCCAAGAATAATAGATCTTCACTATTCTAAACCGCAGGAGGTTTTAGAAACATATTGGAAATGAAAAGTCTGACATAGTTAAAATAGTATGCTGACAATTTTTTATGGAAATCTTTTATTTCTATTTAATTTTTCTATACATATGTATATGAAATTTTATGCTGAAATTGCTTTTTATTAATTGTAACTTACGTACATTTCAATCAAGTAAGCCTAACATGAACAAAGACATTGTCCATGTTAAAAAATGCTTATGAGCATGCTTTATTTTGTAACTAAAGAATTTATCATGTTGCCAACTATAAACACATACTGGGTAATAACTGTATACTAGTAAGCATATCATAAATTTGAAAATCAACTATCCCCATATTTACCACTTAAGTTAGCAGATTGAAGTAGCCTTTTGCTAGCAATTTTGAGAAAATAAAATTAGTAAAGTAAATTCTTCATTTCTTAACAAATCTACCTACTACCTGCATTGGTAGTCATATTCATTCTGCTTTCCCTTCTATTATTGTGAATGAATGCCCTTTTTCCAACTAAAAGCCAACCCTTTTGCTGTGTGTGTGTGTGTGTGTGTGTGTGTGTGTGTGTGTGTGTGTGTGTGTGTGTGTGTTCCTACCATTATCCTCTTCTCCTGCACTATCAATATCACCTTCTTTACTGGATAATTTCTGTCAGTGTACAAACATTTTAGTATCACCTGTCTTAAAAATGCCTCCTGTGACCCTATTCCTGTCACTCTCATCCTGTTTCTTTTTCTTTTTTTTTTTCCTATTTCTTTATTTCCTTCTGCAGCAAAACATGCTGAAAGTATGTCCGTAATCAGACTAGAGTAACCCATTTCCTCAAATCCTATTCTGTCTTTAACTCACTCTATTTGGACTTCCATCTCTAAAGTTCCACAAGATTGCTCTTGTTAAGGTTAATAATGTCTTCTTCCATATTGCTATCCCTGCTTTTGTCTTATCTGATACCTCGATAAAGTTTATTCTTCCTTCTTTAAACATTCTCCACTTTCTTCTTTTGATTATTGTATTTCTTCTTTCATACCTCAGCCCTTTTCGGGTTCCTTTTCACTTTCCTTTACTGGCTGCTTTTCTGCATGTCTTCTAAATGTTGGAGTAGTCTTCAGTCCACTGCAGTCTTGTTCTGTTTTCCCTTCTTTCATTATTGTACATTTCCTCTCTAGGTAACCTCACCCAGTCCTTGGCTTTAATGTCATCGTTAAATTACTCTTTTATCTCTTATTTCTATCCCTGACTTCTTCTTAGAATTACATAGACACATATATCCACATGCTTATTGGATGTTTTATATGAACGTTACATCACAAATTTAATATGACCAATACAGAACTTTTGATTTTTTCTGTACTAGCGTCCACTCAGTTGCTCAAACCAAAAACCCAATAGTAATCCTTTTTCTGTTTCCTGTACTTCATATACACAATCTACCAGCAAATCATTTTAATTCCAACTCTAAAGTTTACTCTGAATTCATTTACTTTTTGTCATTACTACAAACCTAATCCAAACTACCATCATCTTGCACTTTAGTTACTGCCATAGCTTTGGCTCTATCTTCAGAATATATCTGAATCCCATCACTTCTCACACCTTCACTGCCATCTACCACTTTTTTCAAGCCACTATCATATGAGCAAGATTACTACCATTTAGACTTCTTCTCCCACCTCCCATTCCAGTTTATTCTTAACACAGTAGCCAGAGTGCCTTTTCCAACATGTTACGTCATATCACTCCTCTGTTCAAACTCTCCTGATGGCATCTTATCTTTCTAAATCCTTACAATGTTTTACACTCTTACCACTTCTGGTCCTTTACTCCCCCTCAGATACAATCTACCACTCTCACTCTGATCCATCTTTCCCAACTATAATAGTCTTTTTCCTGTTCTTCTAGTGCTTCAAGTGTGTTTCTACAATCCCAAAACCTTAGTCTTTGCTATTCCTTCTTCCAAGAGAGCTCTACCCTCAGTTATCTGTATCACTTCTCCGCTCAAATGACATCTTTTCAGTGAAGATTTCCCTGAACACACTGTATAAAAATAACATATTCTTCCCTCAGCTCTCTATATCCTCCTTTACTTTGTTTATTTTCCCCTTAACAATTATCACCATCTGACATTATTATTAATTTATTAATTGTTTGTCTCCCAACTAGAATATAAGCTAAATGAGAGAACAAATTTTATTTTGTTCCCAGTTGTGCCCCAGTGCCTTAAACAGCTTCTGGAACATAGAGGCACTATAAATGTTTGATAAATCAACGGCTACCTTCCTAATTGGTCTCCCTACTTTGTTTCTTGTTTCCTCTCTGATCTCTTCTCTCCAGAAAGCCATGTAATCTTTTAAAAACTTAAACCAAATCATTCCTGGTTTTTTTGCATAAAATCTCCAAAATCTTCTCAAAGCACTTAGAATAAAATCCATTTTCCTTATATCAGCTTATAAGGTCCCACGCAGCCTGGGCTCTGCTTACGTCTCAGACCTCTTCTTGCCAGCTCTTATGTGTCAGCGGGCAAAACAGCCCAAGACCTTTGCGTTATCTGTTCGTTCTGTGTTTCTCTCCCTCCCTCTCTCTCTCCCTCCCTGCCTCTCTCTCTCTCTCTCTCTCTCTCTCTCTCTCTCTCATAGATGGCTCCTCTGTATCATTCAGATGTTAACTTAAAACACTGCATTTTCAAGGAGATCTTTCTTGGCCATCTAATCAGTCCCAGCACATCAACCTGTTTTAATTCTCTGCATAGCAACACTATCTGATGTATTGGGTTGTTGGAAAAGTCACGACGTATTTTTGTCTATGTTTTTCATTGCAAAAATGTGTCGTGACTTTTCTGACAACCCAATATTTCTGGCTTACCTATATATCTACTGTCTGTTTATGTAACTGGATGCAAATTTAAGTAGAAAAAGGCAATTTTCAGAGAGTTTTTAAAGAGTCTATTCTTTTCTCACCCATTTAGTCTTTAAAAATGGTCTTGTGTCACATTGCACATGACCTGTTTTATTGACTTTGTAGTTTGACCCTCTACCAACTCTTTGGAATACTTCTGTTATGGTACTGTTTCATTGCCGGATTACATGACATTTAAGATTTAACAGCATTAAGTAAAACCTCATGATATTCACATATTCAGTTGCTTTGAAAGTTTAATATATTTTTAGAACCATACTCTACCTAAGCAGCAAAAATTATATATATACTGGACTGGTGTATGGCTAGATGACTTTATTTGGTCAAGTGGTTTTATATAAAATTGGAGTTTTTATTGTATGAATAAGTTTTAAAACTCAAATTGAGAATTATAAGCACTTATCTCTTTAATCAAATTTTAGAGATTTGACTTCAAATGTAATTTCTTGAGCATCATTCATATGGAAAGATTTTTATTAGGTTTTTGTAGTCCTTTTTATATTATAATATATAAACTTTAAAATAGTTACTTAAAAAGATGTGGTTATGAAAGTTTCGATTTAAAGATTTAAGTTAACAGAGCAATCCTCAAAACCTCTAGGCATGCCACTTTAATATACCCCTACAAACCAAACCTTATTACTAGCAAAATCTACTGTTGGGTTGTTGGAAAAGTCATAACGCTTTTTTTTTTCTGTTTTTCGATGCAAAAATAAGTCATGACTTTTCCGACAACCCAATACATTACTTCTTAAAAATGGAAATTACAAGATGCAAATATTCTGACTTCTGTAATTCTGACTTAATTTTGACTCTTTTTATTAACTATTCTGAGCAAGCTATTATGCTTTGTGTATGGAGGTACTCCCAAGACATGTTCTTGGAAGGTGCTGCAATAGCTACTGGAACCAGTAACTTCTTAAAAGTTTTCCACCAAAAAGCCCTTTTGAGCCTTGCAATTTTCCTAGTTTACAATCCCCTGCTTTCCTTATTCTTGCTAGCAACCCATCCAGTGCACCTTGTTTCCATAGCTTCCTCTGTCTTATGAAGTCTGTGTCTAAGAGGAAAGGAAGGACATAAGTAAATGTGTATTCATTTTCTATTGCTTCTGTAACAAATTGGCACAATTAGCAGCTTAAAACAACATCCATTTATTATCTCACAGTTCTGTAGAGAAGTCTGGCGGGCTCATCTGGTTGCTCTGCTCCAAGTCACACAAGGCTAACTCCAGGTGTGGGCCATCTGGGCTCTTATTGGGAGGCTCTGGGAAGAATCCATTTCCAAACTCTTTCAGGTTCCTCACAGACTTCAGCAAACCATGCAGTTATAGGACCGAGGTCCCCATTTCCATTTCTGTCATTTGGAGTCCTTCTCAGCTTGTAGAGGCAGCTCACATGCTTTGGTTTGTCTTCCCCTCCCACCACCTTTAAAGCCACCAATGGCAGATTGGTTCCTTCTCATGCTTCATATCTCTCTCATCTCTCCCTCGGCCTCATCTTTCCTGCTTCACCCTTGTGCTGCATCTCTTTGATTTTAGCTGGAGAAAATTTTCTGCTTTCGAAGATTTACATGATTAAATTGGTCCACTTGGATAATTCAGGATCACCTTATTTTCAGGTCCGTAACCTTAGTTACATCAGCACTGTCTCTTCACAGCAGTGCCTAGGTTAGTGTTTGATTGAATAACCAAAGGATAGAAATCCTGAAAGGGTTAGCCTTAGAATTCTGCCTATCACAAAATGTTTGACTTTATTGTTACCAGACTTGAGTATTATTTCATTTTAAAAAAGTGTTTTAATTGGTTAATGTATATTCAGTTAGATAGTAGCTATTAATTGTCCTTTTTATTGATGTTTGTGGTACATTTTTTAGAGTAGTCTTTTCTCTCCAATAAAGGAAGAATAATTTTGTATACCTAATGCTTATCAGTCTCTTTGTTAGGGAGGATGAGATTAATGAGGAAAAATGAATTTATTATACCTACCACCTGTAAGAGTTTGATATTAATGTTCTACTTTCTTTTACTTGCTTACATACCTGAAAAGTGCTGGAGTTATATTTGTTCCTTTTTAAACTTCAAATTATTTCTTTTTTATTATCTTAGTATTTTATCTGAGTAAAGTAAAATACAATAAAGGTTTAAGTTATTTATTTATTTATTTATTTACTTTTTAAAAAAATGTATTGGGGTGACAATGATTAGTAAAATTACATGGATTTCAGGTGTACAATTCTGTAATACATCATCTATACATCACATTGTGTGTTCACCACCCAGAGTCAGTTCTCCTTCCATCACCATATATTTGACTCTGTTTACTCCCATCTACCAACCCTTTGCCCCCTTACCCTCTGATAACCACTAAACTTTTTGCAAACAGCACCTCTGATAAGGGTTTAATATCTAAAATATATAAGGAACTCATACAACTCAACAACAAAAAACCAAACAATCCAATTAAAAAATGGGTAGAGGACTTGAATAGACATTTCTCCTAAATTACTTAACTTACTGTTAGTTCTTTTGAAAGAAATGATCTATTTTACAGATGCATGGTCAAAATACAATATCCCAGTGATTTATAAGTAGTTCAACACTATGATAATTCACAATGCAATGAACATTTTGGGCTCTTTAATTTTACTGAATAATTTTGAATGATGACACTGACAGTTCTAATGGTATTATGAGTCAAAATTATTTGGATTAATAAAACCAATGAATGTATATAGACTCAGTACTCTTAAAATGCAATGGACATTTTATTGGAGCTTTGTAGGCAGAATGGCTAACATAGAATTCCACTTAACATGAATGCTTCACCTATGTTATCTTAAATGCTATGATATTTTTCATGATTTTTTGTCTAGTCAAAAATGTTCCAGTACTTTGAAATGTTGTGTGAAATGAGTTAATGAACATATATTTATCTTCTGTGGAATTTTGACTGTAGAAGTAATAATTGAACATATGCTAGACTCTGGATACAAAACGGTGGACAAAACAGATATGAATCCTGCCCTCATGGAGTTTACATTTTACATTTGTTAAATTAAGAAATGATATGGCAATTTTCATTAAAAAATTTTAAAGACAATTTCTATATTGGCATATATTTTCCAAGTAAAACACATGTTTTAGTCAGTAATCATTTTATATGAAAATATCTTTATATGTTTTTGATATATTTTTATCACATGATATAGCTAATTAGAAGTCCATGAGAAGATACAGAGAAATAAAAAGATAGACACCTGTTATGCCATTATTCTGAGATAATCATTATTAACATTTTTACATATACGTTTCTATTCTTTTTAAACACATAGATGTGTATACATTACAATATGGAATCATTTTGTCTATTCTATTGAGTAGTCTACTTTTCAGTAAATCATCATTTTTGTAACTTCAATTCCATTAAAATGCTATCAGAAATTACTCATTCAGACTCTTTAATGTCTTTCCCCTGGTTTTTAACTAATATCAACAGCTATATTGAAAGAATTTGTACATGGTACTACATTCATATCCTGTTATTTTTTAAATTAGTTATAATTTAAATTACAACATCAAAGGTCATGTACATTTTTAAGACTTCTGATACATTTTATCAAACAGTGAATTTAATTGGCCTGAAATGTTTATTGAGTTTATGCATAAATAAATGAATGTTTGAATGAATGAAAATATTTCTTATTACATTGTCACAAGTGTATAAGAATTCTTTTCCATTAGGTCTTAAAATAGGATGATTGTTAGCAATTTAAATTTAGTTAACAATAAAATTCGTATGTTATGCCTGGAAGCAATTCATCAACTTTAAGTGGCTGTTGGGGTAAGTTTCACCTGGTATTAGGAATATTTCTGCCCTTGAAAATTCTTATTTATTCTTATGGGCTGCTGCTGTGAAGTATAGAAGGGAGTGGTTCAGATATGAAATTTGTCTTTTTAGGATGGTCACCTCGAAATGCCTTTTTGGCCCATTTTTATGGCATTGAATTCATATTTTAAAGTGTTTGCTACAGAAGTTCTTAAGAATGTCTTTTTCCTGCTATTTTAGAATTTCTGAGGTGCAGTATTGTCTATTCGTTTCTATTTTTGAGGACATAGGAAAACCTTTCTTGTCTCTGTAGTCATTCTGTTACATTTCACTAATCCTCCCTTTTTTAACTCTTGTATCATACTCTTTTTACCTTAATTCAAACAACTGAAGTGAGTTTTCTTTAGTTAGGCATTTACTAAATACATTAATAATGGAGAAATTCAAATTTAGTAGAAGAGATTTAAATATAATCTCAAAATTATTATTTCTTGTCTGTATAGGACTTTTCTAGATTGTAAAGAGCTTCAGAATGGGAAAAAAGCACAGATGAATTGTGTTGAATACAGTTATTGTAGCAGTTAGTAGCTGGGTGCCTTTTACAAGACTTTTGATTTCTTTGAGTGTAGGCTAAGACATTTGATTTCTTTGAGTGTAAGTTTCCTTATACATAAAATAAACTACCTGGTATAATGCTTAGCATAGAATAGATGATAAATAAGTGGAATCTATTTTTGTTATTATATTCCATTTTGTCCCCAAATGACCTATGGTTTGTTTTATCCCTGTTTTATAATTTAGGAAACCAGGACACAGTGCATTTTAGAGATTTGCATAGGGTCACTCAGCTAATAAACATATACTGAGAGCTATATTTTTCTGTCTCCAAACTAAGCATTCTGTTACCACTTTTACTTCTCTTAATGCATGGACATAAGGAATAACTTTATCCTATATAATAACAGTGAAATTGTTTACAAGATCATGTGGAAATCTGATTCCCTATATACACATGGCACAGAGTCAACGCTCTGTTATATACAGGAAGCTATATAGATGGATGGTTGGGTCAGTCCTTTCCTGTAGATAGAAAATTGTATATTATGACCACCATCCTGATTGTGTGTTTCTTCATCTGTTAAACGTGTAATCAGGGTACCTAACTCATAGCATTGTAATAATTAGATGCTATCATAGATACAAAGTATTTACAAAAATGTCTGACATCTTAAGCATTCAACAAATATTAGTTATTACTACTATGTGAATGATTTTAGAGTATGAAAACTTGAATATGTATGGGATTATCATTCAGTTACTTATTCTCTATTATATATCATGTCATTAGTTTTAATAGACTTTTTTCTGATTCATGTTGCTTTATCTTTTTAATTTCTTCAATGTATCTTTTAGGATTGAAAGAGTTGTCCCCACTTCCTCTAAATCTCAAACGTTTGTACAAAGAGACGCTAGAAATTGAACCCATCTTGATAATTATTTCCCCGGGTGCTGATCCTTCTCAGGAACTTCAAGAACTTGCTAATGCTGAAAGAAGTGGAGACTGTTATCACCAGGTCAGTACATTTCATCCTGCTGCTTTCGCTAAAGCTGCTACTCTTCCTACCGTACTTGAATCTGTTAGTGAAACAGACATTTTGTTGTTGTTGTTGTAGTAAGCCAAATAATGTCCCCTAAAGTGTCCACTTGCTGATCCTCAGAGCCTGTGAATTTGTTACCTCACATGGTAATAGGGATTTTGCAAATGTAATTAAGTTAATCTTGGAGAACTTGTCCTGGACTATCAGGTGGGCCCAATATAATCACAAGGGTCCTTATAAGAGGGAGGCAGAAGAGGCTGAGAGCAGGAAGGAGACGTGATGACAGAAGCAGAGGTCAGAAAAATGAGAAGATGTTATGCTGCTGGCTTTGAAGATGAAGGAAGAGGCCATGAGCAAAGAAATCCAGGTGGCTTGTAGAAGCTGGAAAAGACAAGGGATGGATTCTTTCCTAGAGCCTCCAGGAAGAAAATAGCCCTTGAGTACTACCTTTATATTCAAACTAAATACCTTAATTTTAGACCAGTGGGACTTCTAACCTACAGAAGTCTGGTAAGATAATAAATTTGTCTAGTTTTAAGACTCTAAATTGTGGCAACTTGTTATAGCAGTAATAGGAAACTAATGTATTTGCTTACATTTTAAGAATAAATTAAACAATTTTATTTGGATGTGTTTGCAGTAAATAACAGCAATATTTACCTGCAAAAACCGAAATGAAAGAAATACATAATTTTTTCCAGAAAAATTTATCTAATATACTGCCATTTTTCCCTGAGGTTACCTCTTTTTTATTTTCAATTCAGTTTGTATGCAAGTTTGAAAATTAATTTACCCTGTTTGGACAACTGAATAAATAAACCTTTTTCATTAGGAGAATAATTAATAATGATTAAAACAGCAAATACTTCACAGCAACAAAAAATGAAAAGTAAGAATGTTATAAGGATTATAAATAGAAGATAGCAAAATAGCAGAAGGCTCATTTCAGGTTTTTCACAGTCTATCTCTAGGGAATTTCATTCAATCCTAGTTATAGTATGTTAATTAATATATTCATTAAGACAGTATTCAATTATCAATAAAGTGTCTTGGGAGCCAAATATGTGCAATATTGGAGAAATTAGAAGTAAATTTTAAAGTATTCAAGACTGTAATTATAAAAAACATTTTTTAAAAAATCTATGTTTCAGAATGTAAGAATTACAGGAAATAGTGAGATGAGGAGCAAAAGACTATTCAATAATTCTTTATACTGTCCTATAACTTGTAAACCTATAATGGTAACATTTTTAATAAGTAGAAAATATAGAGTCTGATGTTTCTTATGAAACATTGAAAACTCTGATTATATGTTACAAATTGTTATCAGATTTGTTGTTTTAGTTTTGTGTTTTGTTATTTTTTCAGGTTGCCATGGGTCAAGGTCAAGCTGATTTAGCAATTCAAATGCTAAAAGAATGTGCTCACAATGGAGACTGGCTCTGTTTGAAGAACTTACATCTTGTGGTATCTTGGCTGCCGGTTCTGGAAAAGGTAAATTCAGATAAATAATGGTGCAGATAATATCTAATATACTCAATTCAGCAATCTACAAGGAACATCAGTATTAAAATATGTCATGCATTATTTATGATTTAAAAAAAATAGTATTTGATGAGAAATCATTTAAAATCTGTTATTTTCTTCTTAAATATGTACATTTGTACAAACCAAGATGGATCTTTTAATAGGGAGTCTATAAAAATCTCTTTTTTTAAAGCATGTAAGGAAAGCCAAGAAATTAAAATCTTAGAGAATTTTGTTCAGAAGAAAAATAGTGAAAAGCTTTCAAGGATTGTTGAAGATCTATTTATAACATTACTTGCTCTTTATTCTCTTGTTCTGTTGTACCTGTCTGGGGAGAAAAGATGTAGAGGAGTGAGAAGGAACTGTAGAACTTCTAGGTGCTAAGGAAACTAGGATGTAAACAGAAGCAACCATTTCCTTTAACCTTAAGATAGAACCAATTGCTGGGTAGATTTTAAATGCAAACCTAGATTTAAGGCTAGTATTTATTTAAGAAAGATCTAGGGTCTTGGGTACTTAGAAATGACTCTGAAGACAAGATGTTCCTTTGAAGCACTATGTGATTAGCCAAGTGCAGAGGGGGGCTATCATGGTTAATTTCAACAGCACAAGTAGAGACATAGTGGTGGAGACGTTCATGCCTAATACAAGGAATGAAGATACTGGAAGGGCCTTGAATATACTGGAAGGGCTAGGCAGGACAGTGTGGGGCAATGGAGTTAAATGTGTAGGAAAGGGCTAGGTTATGAGAACCACGCAGAAGAGCTTGGAAGTTTTGTCCTAGGACATGGAGAGTCAAAGGAAGTCCTTAGCAGGGGAATTAATAATTAATTCATTTAATCTCACAGAAGTATTATTCAGAATAGAACCAAACAGAATAGAGTGGATTGAGGGAGGCCCTAACCTAGTTGTGATGTGTTGAAAATTTGTGCAGTCCTAATAAGTTGGCAGCTATAGCACCTTATACAAAATAGTTAATCAATAAATCTTTGATGAATGAGTTAATGACTGAGTGAATTAATTGATGGACCATGATGATTCTTATAATCAAAAGAAGATATAGATTTTGGAGCTGAAGTATATGTGAATATTCAAATATTCATTATTATTACAGTCTTCAGCAAAAATCACTAACGTGTGAAAATATAAAACTCATGTCTGATGAGCCATGTGTTTTAAGCATATAATGAAGAGTTGTGAATACTTAAATCCTGCTTTTTGTTCCAAACAGCATATTGATAGCTATTAATCTATGTAAAATATAATTACAGTTATTACTTTGGAAGCAAATGTTAATTAGAACTTTTGAAGTATATAGGGTAAATTATATTATAAAAGTTTAAAAAAATTTTAAAGTTTTACTTTTCTTTTGGAAAGTTTGGATGAATTATTTGGATATAAATTTACAAATTTGTTTTAAATCCAAGTATATCACATATGTATTGTTTCTTTTACCTTATTTTTTTTTAAAACATGCTAACCAGAGGCAAAACTTTACATTTTGACATTATAAAACTTTACATTTAAAAATTTTACATTTAAAAATTATTATTAGGTATAGATACATTTTATAACTTACAATTTTAAGCAAGGATGATGTTTCTATGGTCAATTTTTTGCCGTTTTTTCATTATCTTAACTCTATATTTCACATATTTATAATGAATGTTAGTATCAGACATAAATTATAATTATGAAAATAATTTTTAGACTTCTCTTTTAGAGCTATCAATACTTTTTAGAGTTATCAATATTTCTTATTAATATTCGTGCATTCTACAGACCCTTGCCTAGTACAGAAAAAAGCTTGAAAGACTCCTAGGTTCTGGTTACATACAAAATTTGTACCTGTTCACTAGGAACTTAGTTCATAAGAGACAGACCACATTAATAATGAATATGTAGTATGATTAACACTACTAATTAGAAGATAATTTACAAAATATCATCAGCAATGAATTCCGCTCGGGATTGTGGTAGTGAAGAATTGGAGAAGATATTCCCCTAAGATACTACATTTTAACAAATGAGTTAGAATTTGTCAGGTTCTAAAGAGAGTAGCAGACAGAAGAATGTGATGATTATAGACACAGAGGCATAAAAATTTGAGTAAGTGACTAACGCATACAACATGGGCAGATGAATTGGTATGGCGAAGCTTTCAATTTACATCACAGGCAATAGAATACATTGAAAATTGTCAATAAAGGAATTGATAACACTTTATAACTCTTGTGGAAACACAAACTGCTGAAACTATAAGAACCAGAAGGCCTGAAGATGACTGGTAGTTTAGTCATAGCAATTACAGCTAACACTTCTTTTGTACTTACTATGTATCAGCCACCGTTTTAAGTGGTTTACACAATACTATGAGATAGGTACTATTATTACATCCTTGCGTAGCAATGGTGTAAGTCATAGAATCCAAGGTCACATAGAAATAAGTGGCAGAATTTGGAGTTCAGCCCTGATGGTCCAAGTTCTTATTTGGTATACTAAGCTAGGAAGAGAAGATGAATATTTAAAGGACATATAATCAGAAGCTTAAGAAATATATCGTAAGAAAATTTACTTCGTAATAATATATTTATAAAACAGAAATTTGCGTCAGTGTTTAAGTTGATTTTTATTGTTGTTTTTATCAACAAGGAATTGAATACTCTTCAACCTAAAGATACCTTTCGTCTTTGGCTCACTGCAGAAGTTCATCCCAACTTTACTCCTATTTTATTACAGTCAAGTCTGAAGATAACATATGAGGTAAGAAGATAGAACTCGAATCACTATTTGTGTAAGTGCAGTAACCTCTATATGCCTTCTAAAGCTCTGTAAACAACCGTCTATTATGCAGAATTTCCCCTATACATTTAGATGAGGTATTATATACATAAATAATAGCATAAGATGATATTTATAAAAATGCATTGAAATTCTCCTTTCAAATTTTAAAATAACTGGCGTCATACTTATTTACGTTTTTCTTTAGTCTTTTCACTGAATTTTCTGTTTCTTTATTTCTTTTTTCTTCTTAATGTTTTCCTTAAATTTGTATTTGCTTTTGCTCTTTCTAATTTCTTATGTTGAATGCTTTATTGGTTTATATTTACTTGACTTAATATTGAAATTATTTTTAGTCTCTGAAAAGAGTATACCTTTGGCCTTATTTCATAATTTGACATATTATTGCTTTCATTTTATTGTTTTTCAAATAGTCTGTATTTGTGTATGATTTTGTCTGTAATTATATATGATTTATTCATTTAGCATAATTGTTAATATAGGGTCTTTTAAAATACTTTTATGTGGTTGTTCAGTTTCCTATTAGTGTCATGTTTTATTGAATGGTGCTCAAAATTTGGACTATTCTGTGATAATTTTTTGTAAATGTTTCAAAACACAACATTTTCATTTTAAAAGTATAAATTTGGATATGTACTTAGTAAATGAATAATATTTTTTCTTTTACTTTCAACCAAAAAAGTTTTTACTTAAGAAAAAGAATGAAAAGTATTATAAAAGGAATAACTATTTGTAGCAGACATTCTTTTTATTTTTTTAAGATTTTTTTTTTTTAATTGGGGAATTAGGGGAGGGGAACAGTGTTGGGGAAGGGGAACAGCCAAGTTGTTGTCCTTCAATATTAGTTGTGGAGGGCGCCACAAGCTCAACTGCAAGTCCAGTAGCGCCGCTCATCTCAGGGTGCTGTGTTCCATTAGTTGCAGGTGGGCTTAGCCACCATCCCATGTGGGAGGCGAATCAGCAGCCTTGTTGTTGAGAGCGCATGCTCTATCCACTGAGCCATCTGGGCGGCAGCTCAGCTCAAGGTGCTGAGTTCAGTCTTAATTGTAGCAGACATTCTTAAACTACTGAACTTGAATTATTCTTTTTATGTTAGAAACCATAGAAACGTTGTCAGTAAAATGATCGTATAAACTTATTTGGTTATTTTGAATGTTGTTGGTTTACAGATTTTTCGAAAAATATTTTGGATTTATAATTGAGATAAACTGTTAGGTATAAGGAGTTGGAAACTAGTTTTATATTTGTACATTTTGAAGTAACATCATAATAAAATTGAAGTCAACTTGGTAATGGTGTAAATTTTTCTTGATTAAAATATGTTCTTAAATTTGTTAAATACTGATTCTGATTCATTTTATTTTTAAGATTTTAAACAATATGATGTCTGTTTATTTTTGTTCTTTAGTCACCTCCAGGTTTGAAGAAGAATTTAATGCGTACTTATGAATCTTGGACTCCTGAGCAAATTAGCAAAAAAGATAATATACATCGAGCTCATGCTCTCTTCAGTTTTGCATGGTTTCATGCTGCATGTCAAGAGAGAAGAAATTATATTCCACAGGTATGTAAGATCAGTCTCGGATATATTCTAAGTCGTACGTATTTTTTATGTTAGAATATTTTTACAATTAATAGAAATGGCTAGGATTACTTCATAATTTGGCTCATGATTCATAAATTTATATCTCTAATTCAATCTTTTCTGTTAATCTTCTGGACTATATATAGTTACCTAGTTCACATCTCTGAAAGTGTTTAGAACAATGTGTGAACCATCATAAGCCCTCAGTGGTTGTTAGGCATCATTTTTATGGTTCTAGATCTCACAGGCCTCTCAAAGTTCCCCATACCTGTTTTTTCTTTATATATCCTTCTCAGTGAAAGGTATTGATATCCATTTACTTCCCCAAACTAGAAACTTAGGAGTTGTACTTGATTTTTTTTTTCCCTTAGTCTCCTTCCCAATTCATTATCAAGTCGTATTGATTCTGCTTCCAAAACATAATTCAGGGCCAGCCGAGTGGCGCGCTGGTTAAGAGCTGGCTTGGGACACCAGAGGGCCATGGTTCGGATCCCACATATGAGGGTCAGTGACACTGCCCTCTGCAGCTAAGATGCTGAACAGCTCAACCTGGAGCTGGACTTACGGGAGTCACCGGCGACGGCGTAGGCTGCAGCCCCTGTTGCAGTGGGTTGCCATGGGCTACCTACCATGTGTAGCCAGCAGCCAGCGTGAGCGGCCAGCAGCCGCAGTGAGTGGCCGTCCAG